TTACCTTCCTGTTCAGGTGACCATATTGGCTGGAAGTCAGTACATGCTTCTCTCCCCGCCCCCCAACCCAAATCAGTGCTCCATAACACAAACCTGATTTTATCCCTGAACTTTTCAGTGATTCAGTATTGCCCCAAGGATCCTTAGCCTTGGTGCCACTTTAACCCTAACCCTAACCCTTCTTACCTTTTTGGCTAGCTGTTTCCAGGAAGAAATATTCCATCTCCCACCTCCATACCTTTGCCAAGCTCCACCCCCTCCCCCATTAATTTCCAATCTCTTAAAAATCCTTAAGTTCTTTCCAGCTCAGCGACTCTCTCCACCTGTGTTCTTTCCTATTATTCTGTTTCTGTCTCGCCTTTACATGTACTTTGTAGTCTTTCTTTCTTTTTCCCTCTATTATTTTGTATTTAACACAAGTGGTACCCCATGTGGGAGGGAGGGGCTCCTGCACGTGCGGGCACTTGTGTGCGAGCAGGCTCCCTAGGTTTACAGTTTACAAATTCCTTTCAAGTTGGACAAGTTTTCTATGGCTTACAAAGTCCTCTAACGTTTACAAAGGCTTTCAGAGTTTCAAAAGCACCCTTTACAAAGCCACTGCAGGGCAGGGCGGGGTGGGCCACCTCATCCTAGGGGAAGCTCTCCTTCCTCACATCTTGCTGAATCCTTTAGTGCCTTCAAAGCTCACCTCAGGTGGTGCCTCCTGCACTTTACCGAAGAGGAGCATGTGTTAGTGATGGGGAGGTAAGAGACTCAGGCCTATTCTCATACCTTTTCTCCACCTCTCATCAGTCTTTGCTCACTTTGCTTTGAGCTGAGCTGGAATTTATCAGGTAGGCAGGCTCTCTTACTGCTAACTCTCCGCATCTAGGATTTCAAATGACAAGCTGAGATTTCCAATCTGAATGCAGTGAGGTGAGCACATGCATGACCCCAGCACACTACGGCCCTGGCTCTGTCTGACCAATGCAAATGTTCTGGTGAAGGGGATAGCTCCTCCCTCCCTCCCTCCCTTTTGCTGCCACTTCTTATACTGGGCCCTCCAGCTCGAACTCACCAGGTCTAAAGCTGGAAAATCCCTGCCACCTGCTGGGGCTATCTTCGGGCTGGTGTTGGCAGATTACATCACACTGAGCTCACCGGAAGTGCAGAGGCTAACTCATCTATTCCTAGGATGCTTTACACCTTTTGTGACTGAGTTATCACCTGCTTCCACCTGGCCCCCCCTCCCAAAGAGCCTAGGCCCTTTTCTACCAGAGCCCAGGAATCAGGAGGTGAAGCTCTCCTCTGTGTCACTGTGGACAAGTCCCCTCTCCTCCAGTCAACCTCCATCCCGTGAGTGGCCTCAATGATTTAAGTCTATGGCTAGGTGAGACCGCAGCACAGGAGGGGCCCAATGGATTCTGGGGTGGCACAAGGCCCAGCCTTCCAAGTTCCACCACTGACTATACTTGGAAGCCAATGAGTAGAGAAAAAGCAAAGTTCTTGATGAAGATTAGGAAGAGAAATTTGAGAGATTAGAGATCTGAATGCATCCCCTTGTCAAGGGAATCCTGCCCAGCCTTGCCTTGCTTTGCGAGTTGGCCAAGATGCAGTGGACAGAGTGCCACTGGGCCTGGGGTCAGGAAGACTCATCTACCCAAGTTCAAATCCGGCCTCAGACACTTACTAGCTGTGTGACCCTGGGCAAGTCACTTCACCCTGTTTGCCTCAGTTTCCTCATCTGTAGCTGGAGAAGGAAATGGCAAACCACTCCAGTATCTTTGCCAAGAAGCCCCAAATGGGGTCACAAAGAGTCAGAGATGACTGAAATGACTGAACAAATACATGTGAAGTCATGCAAAATGATGTTATTCTCTAACATCCATTCTCAATATTTCCATCACAGTTTCTAGGTGGCTTGGCTTCTGCCCATTTCCCAAATGGGACAAGGCAGCTCCTGGCCCTCCTAAACAAATGGGATGGGGGAGTGGGAATGTTGCAGCCAAACTAATACACAGCCATGAGTAAGGAGCTGAGATTTGGGAATTTATTTGGATACAGTCACAGTGCTGAGGATGCCCAGGCGGCTGAAGGTCAGGGTGCTCTAAGATTGGAACGCTTCTATTTTCCACGGCTCATGGTCTCTGAAACTCATCCATATGGACCCAAAGGAATGTACAAATTTACTGCTACTCTTCCTGTATCTAGTTCAGAAAGTGCTGAAGGAAGCATACAGGCACAAGGACCAGATTTCCTGATCTCATCCCCACTCTGAGGCCAGAAATAAATTGAGTAGCAGCAAGCAACATGTCCATCTCAGGCACAGAAGGGATTGTGGCTCCTAGGAAGCGCCCACAAAAGCCTGAGGAACTCCCCAGATCTATAGGTTCCTATCTAGAGCTCTTCAGACGGACACACAGACATGGCCAGACGTGGACACAAACAGACACAGACAGGGAAACAGACACATTCAGACACAGATGATAAAGATGAATAGACAAGGACACAGAGATATGGAAGGGCAGATGAGGATGGACATACAGGCAAGGACACAGACAGGGACATGGACGTACAGATAGGGATGAACAGACAGGGAAACAGAGACAGGGACAGACGGACATGGGCAGAGGCTGGGATGGACTTACACAGAGAAAAACAGGGAAGTGGAACATATTAAACACTCAAGGGATCTTCAATCTGATAAACACTTTTTAACCTACTACTGTGCGCATGGTACCATACCGTGGATGAAAAAACAGGCTGACACAGGTCCTGTTCTTACGGGGCTAACAGCTGAACGAGGAGGGAGGGGGGAGGAGAGTGAGAGAGCGGGAGAGACAGAGAGAGAGTGCAGGCGCAGAACAAGATCCAAGGCTGGAGAGTACACACATTTGGCTTGACCTCAGAGTGCATGGAGGGAAGCAGCATAAGAAGAGGCTGAATAGGCCAAAGGGAAGCAGCTTGTGAAGGCCTCCAATGCAGGAAGCAGTAGGTTTATTTGGCGTGGTCAGCAGTGGGGAACAGGGCTAGTTTCTAGAAGGCTGAGAAGCAAGTAACCTTCTGTAGGCTGTGGCACAGGAAAAGCCTTGGGCACATCTCACCGAGGGTTCCTTGTGGCAGCAGGGTATAGGATGGAATCTCTCACATGACGATGAGTAGCTAGGTGGCCCTGCAGTGGGCCTGGAGTCAGGAACAATCATCTTCCCAAGTCCAAATCTGGCTGTGTGACCCTGGGCAAGTCACTTCACCCTGTGTGCTTCAGTTTTCTCATCTATAAAACGAGCTGGATAAGGAAATGGCAAATCACTCCAGTATCTTTGCCCCACAAGAAAACCCCACATGGGGTCATGAAGGACACTACTGAGATGATGGAACAACTCGGAACAGGTATGAACTCCGTGAAACTGGGGTGATAACATCCTTGATACTTGCTCCTTGAAAAGCTCAGCCTACGGAAGGGGTGCCACCATCATTATAACCCTTCTGAGCACTGAACTCGCCATTGTCCCCAGGTTAGCCTGTCTAGAGCTTGTTTGTACATTGCTGTTTGCCTGTTGTCTCCCCCGCTAAACTGGGAGCCCCTTGAGGGCAGGAGCTGGCTTTTTGCCTTTCTCTGTATCCCTGGCACTTGGCATGGTGTCTGGAATATAGCAGGCACTCAATATAGTAGTGCACTGGCTTGAGGGATAATCATTATAATCAGGTGAATAGGCAACAACTTCTGGGAGGGAGGCTGAGGAAGAGATTGAAACCTATAACTGAGTCCCAGACTTCCTATCAAAACAAGAGAGGGATTAGAGATCCTGAGGTGGCCACCAAGTGCAACCCCCCCCATCTGACAGGGGAGGAGGTGCAGGGCTTCTGTGGAGGGACTTTGGGGGGTCTGGGAACTAGGGTGGGGAAAAAGACGACCTCTTTCTTTTCAATCCCTTCCAACAAAGTCAGCACCTCCTTCCATTTTGAAAAAACCAGCCACGTTCCAGAGTGGGAGTCCCTGCCTCCAAACAGCCACTCTTCCTCACACTCCAAACCCCAAATGCTGAACTCAGTTAAGCTCTTTCATCCTGAAGCCCTATGATCTGGAGGGTCCCTCCAGTGCTTTGGGGCAGCTAGAGTCCCATTGGACCCTTTGAGACATAGAGAGGAAATCCACTTCCCAAGTCACTTGGCTTCCTGGGCTCCATTCCAGGCACCTCACTCCCAAACTGAGCCTACAAAGCATCCCGTTTCTGAAAAATAAGTAAAGCAGAATTCGTCCCTTAAGACTATTCAAGTGCTCATCCCAAGCTGAGGTCGCTCTGGCCAACTTTCATGGAATTGAGAAGGTCGCTGAGGTTTGGCCTCAACGAGAAGAGGTGCGCTCTTCCTTCTGTGGGATGACAACGAGGTGGGGATGTTGGAGAGGAAATTCTTCATCAGGTCAAGGTAGGGGTCTGCTTCATTCTCCCCAATTTGCCCCAATTTCACCTGGGCTCTTTTTGTGCTCACACAAGCACACCGTTGGTGGAGTTGGCTGCAAGCAATCACCCACGAGGGTCTTTAAGCCATGGCCTAAGCCTGGAACCTGGTCCCTGAGCTCATGGCTGCAAGTGCTAATGTAAGTGGGACTCCTTCCCCATGCCCAGAAAGAAAACACTTCCAAGTTCAACTCGCCCTGAAAAGCTGTCATCCAAACTATCACAGAGATGGGGAGAACTCCACAAACTCACTGCAAAAAGCTTCTGCTGGTTTCTTTGGAAGTTGTTTAGTAAGGAACATAGCAAACAGTAACTGATGCTTTTCTCTGCTTCATCCCCACCCACTGTATGATTCCACATACACGTGTGTATTGTGCATGTACATATGGGTATCCATGTAGATCTACGTAAACGTGTATCTGTGTGTCTGGGCCTGGGTGTCTAAGAGCTTTCCTCATTTCTTCCACTAACCTCCCACAGAGCACAGCCTCCAGGGTTTTTGTAATTATTATTGCTAGGCCTCCCCCGCCCCCCCCCCCCCCCCCCTCACACACATGGCATCTAAGAGAACCAGGCCAGAGAGAGATAAAAGGCCAAACCCACGAAGGCCATGCAGGCATTCCACACAATGGGCAGGAAAACCAGCAGACCCAGCACACACAGAGACTGGCTGAGAGCCTTCTGGAGCTGACCTGGGAACTCCCAGAGGCCTCCCCCTTGGGCAATGCCAGAAGGCTTTTGCACTGGGTTGCTATTGGGCAAGAGATCACTTCTTTCCTGGAAGCAGGAAGAGAGCCCTTCAGCCTTGATGGCACTGATCTGGTCACATTCTTTGTCTGTATCCGCTGGCTTCTTTTCAGGGGCTGCCCAGGACCATGAACTGCCAGACCTCAGGATTTCCTCTTCTTCTGGGTCCTGACTGAGCCCATCCTTGACCAAGACGAACCCTGGATGCTGTCCTGCCAGCCACATGCCAGTAACAATGCCAGGAGGGGATTCCTTCAGTGTGTCTCCTTCCCCAGACTCCTCCTCCTCCTCCTCCTCCTCCGCACCAGAAGACACCCCCAGCTCCTCAACCTCGTCACCACCTTCTTTAGCATCTTCAAGGAGCTCCATCACCCCCTGCACATTTTGCATTGCATAGTGCAGGGTGATCTCCTCCGCTAGAGAGCTGTTCAAGGCTCTCTCTGGACCCATCCACTTCAGGAAGAGATCTTGGTCGGGATCAGTTACAGGGATCCCCCCCAAATCCCCATCAGCCACCTCTGCGGCCCTCAAGCGGCTCAGGTGGGTGAGGTAGAGCTGTTCCAACTCCAGGTCCACAGCATCCTCATTCTGGGCCTCATCTGACCTAAACAAGTCTGTGCTCTTTCCAGGGTGGCCCTCAGAAGGCCACTCACCCAGAGGACTTGCCAAGTCCGACACGACCTCTTCCTCAGCCCCCAACAGGGGCACTCCCAGGGCTCCTCCCTGATCTGGCACCAAGCTCAGCACAGAAGGGTGGATTTCGACGGTGGGGGTCTGTGGGTATTCCAGGAACGTCTCAGGCAGGTACAGGTGAGATCCTTTGTTTTCTGGAGAGCTAGCCACCATGACATCTGAGACCTAGGGTCACAGAAGATGAGGAGGAGGGAAGAGGGAAGGAAGTTAGCAGAATAGGGACAGAAATAAGAGAAAGAACAAGGGAAAAAGAAAATCAGAACAAGGTCTACCAAAAATGCCCCATTCCCTTCTAAGGTGCTAGGCCCCACTTCTCCCAAGCACCTCAGCCAATGACCCTGGGGGTCACTCTGGCTCATTTCACTGAGCAAACATTTAGTAACTAGCTACCCTGGGCCTGGCAATACAAATACAAAGAAGACAGTGTATAGGACCTAGAGTCAAGAAGACCCAAATTCCAATCTTGCCTCAGACACTTGCTAGCTGTGTGACCCTATACCTCTCTGGGCTTCAGTTTCCTTCTCTGGAAAGTAGAGATAATAATAAGTGCCTAGCTCGAAAGGTTGGCTATCTGGATTGTGCTTTATGAGCCTCAAAGTGCTATCAAAATGTGAGCTCTTATTAAATGGGACAAAGTGGCATCTGATGGGGCAAAGCACCCCGAGAAAACTGAAGAGACAGAGAGAGATGAGACAGAGAGAGACATAGAGAGACAGAGAGGAGAAGAGGAGGAAGAGGAGGAGGAGGAGGAGGTGGCGGAGAAGAAGAAAAATCAACAGAGAAGAGAAGGAGCCAAGAAGCTGAGATGAAGAGAGAGAGAGTGCCTTCCTTCCAGGCATGAGAATGAGCTCCCCCCAGCCACAGAGGCAGAGCCACCAGAAAGAGAAAGAAAAAATAAGGCTCCCTTGATGAACCGTGCAGGGTCTTGGATTTGTCTTCTTGGCAACAGGAAATTGCTGAAGGTCTGGGGGAGGCCACTGCGAGGCCCACTGACTAAATAGAGACAATCTTGCCAACTTCAGATTTAGTGCAAATGAATTCTCTGGCCCTCCCTATGGCTGATGGGAATCTCTCACCTCAGAAAGGAGTACCTGGCCATGTTTTTGGTTTAAAAAGTTTGAGCTAAATAAGGCAGGCCACCCCAGATCACCCTAACATGTGGCCAACAGGGGACCAAGAAGACCTGGATTTGAATTGCAGTTCTGTGACATAAGGCAAGTCATTTGACTTCTCTAAGCCTCAGTTTCCTCATCTGCAAAATGGGAATAATTATCCTTGTACTACCTATTATATAGGGTTGTTGCAACTTTGCAAATGTTAATCTTCTATAGAAATAGGAGCTGCCCTTTTCTCCTACTTCTTTTTTTTTTCTTTTTTTGGGTTAGGCAATGGGGTTAAGTGACTTGCCCAGGGTCACACAGCTAGTAAGTGTTATGTGTCTGAGGCCAGATTTGAACTCAGGTCCTCCTAAATCCAAGGTCAGTCCTCTATCCACTGCGCCACCTAGCTGCCCCATTTTCTCCTACTTCTATTACAATGGTTTTAAGTGTAAATAAATTCAGCCCAGTGAGATCCTGGGTCCATTTAAAATTGAAGCAAATATGAAGTTCTGATCAGAATGATGCAAAATTCTCAAGCAAAGCTAGCCATCTCCTTGCTAAAAACTCACTTTATGTTGGCTCATCAGTCTCTCATCTGAACATGGCCACAGTATTATGTCACTGTACTACCCACTTCAGAGGGTCACTGTGAGCAAAGCCCCTTTGTAAAGGTAATAAGGGTAGGAAGGACAGCCCGAGAAGGGCTCGGTCCTACCTGGAGGCTGGAGAACCTGTTTCCGGAAGTAATAATGGAGGGACCCCTCGATGTCAATTCTCAGAAGCAGGTACCCCAAGCACAGGGAATCAGCAGAAGTGGCGGCATGCAAGATATGGCAAAGATTGTTCTGGAAAGGATCAAAGACTGGCACCAGTTTCGAGTGCCAGGCTAAGAAATCTGGGCTTTAGGAGATCCACAGCAATGTCCTGACTGAGCATGTGTCAAAGGCTGCAGAGAGTTCAGAAAGGATGAGGACTGATCAAAGGCCCGTTGCTCTATCATGGTCCCTTTGGAATGCTGAGGTCAGAGAGTCAAGAAGAGAGGGAAGGGACAGGGAACAAGGACACCCATTGTGGAATTTAGCCACACGAAAGAGAAGAGCTACGGGATGAGAGCTGGCAAAAATGGACGGATCAAGTGAAGGTTTTTTGAGGATCAGGGAGACACAGACATGTTTGTAGGTAGCAGGGGAGTAGCCAGGAGACAGGGAGATTGAAGATAAGTGAGAAAGTGGGGATGGCAGAGGGGGCAATCCACTTGAGAAGCGAGGATGGGATCAAGGATGCATGTGGGGGGGTCACCTTGGCAATCATGGGAGACAGGGGTGAAGGAAGGCATCTGAGTGATGGGAGATGAGGAAGAGGGAAGAAGAGGGGGCTCAAGGCAAAAAATGGCTTCAATATTTTCCAGTGAAATGCAGCAGTTGGTGGGGGGCGGGGGAGGCAGAAGAGCCATGGGAGATGAGAGGGAGTTGATGAGGGAGGTGAGAGAGAATTGCCTTGCTGCAGTGAGGGCCCAGTTGAGATTACATAACATACAAAACAATTTTGTGAATTTCTCAGCAGCATGTGAATAGGAACAAAGGCAGCAGAGTGTGAATGATGCAAGACTGAGACCCGGTGGGGCAAGATCAGCGATCCAATAAAGGGGCTGGTTCATCAAAGGGTGGAGATGGGGAAAAAAGGAAGAAAGTGTAACCAGTGTAGGGGTATTGGCCTGGGAGAAGGGTGGAGGTACTCGTGATCCAAGTGAGGAAAAATGGGTTGGAATGAAAGACGGAATGATAAAAGGTTTTGAGCACATAAAACCATGTCGGAATTCTCAATTGTGGAAGTAAAACCCTTGTGGGTAATGGACCATCTCTGAGTGTGGATGAGGTGAGGTGAAAGAGTAGGTCCCAGGAAGTGGGTATGAATAGGGATTGAATGAACCTCAAAGGAAGATGGTGGTAGAGGGAGAATCTAGTCAGTCAGTCCAAAGCATCAGTTAAGCACTCTATTCCTGGCACAGTGCTAAGCACTGAGAATATAAACAAAAACAAAAGACAGAGTAAGTCCTGAGATATAGAACCTATGGCTCTAGGTCACAAAACGTAACCCTTGGGCTCAAAGGCTCAAGGCCTCAAGTGTCTTTGGTGTCTCTTTCTAGGTCTATACATACATACATACATACATACATACATACATACATACATACATACAGAAGCTCTAGGCCTAACTGGATCTTCAGGTCTCTCATCCTCCGGTCTTCAACTCTTGATTCGCAGCTAGAGGTAAAAAATTGCAAAGACTTGGAGACACTGTCAGTGTGTCTTCAGGTTTCTAGATCTAGGGCTTCACGTGTCCAAGTCTTTGGGATTTTTTTCCATCTCTAGCACTCTAAGGCAATAAGTCTCTGTGTCTCTCCAAGTCTTGGTCTAGGTCTACAGACTCTAGAGGTTCATTAAGTCTAGGTCTGTGGCCCCAAGTCTCCTGATATGTCTCTAGGTCTAAATTGCTAAGACTGGAGGTCAAGAGTGCAGGCGAGCGTGGAGTTGGTTGATGGTTGACTATAAGGCAGAGATAGAGTGACGAACTGGGAAAGAACTGAGGTCACAGTGAAGACCAAGAACAAGTTTAGGAAAAGTGTTGCAGAGGGAGAGACAGAACGAGAGAAGATAACGATCAGATAAGGGAACTTCAGAGTTCCCAAACGTGGAAGTGGAACATTTGTGGCCAATGGCAAGATCAAGAGTATAGCTAAGGTGGAAAAGAGAATTAGGCCATGGGAAGTGTCATAGTTAAGGGCAGGAACTGAGGTGGAGAGGAAGACTGTGAGCCATCAGGATTGGGTAATAAATTTGGAGAGAATCACCCTCAAAGGAGAAGAGGCTGCTGACTGATGGTAGCAGGGGGAGAGACTTAGAAACAGCGATGGAGAGAAAGCCCTTCTAGTGCCAGTTTGGCTGAGGTTGTTGGTATGTGAGAGGTGAAACTAGTATTATAAAGCATAGCTAGGGACGTAATGTGGTAGGGCACAGCCAGAGTGCTGAGCCTGTAGTCAGAAAGACCTGAGTTCAAATCTGCCCTCAGACACTAGCTGTGAGACTCTGGATACGTCACTACCTTTGGCTGTCTCAGTTTCCCCAACTGTAAAATGGGGATAGTAATAGCCCCTAACTCCCAAAGTTGTTGTGAGCATTAAATGAGGTGATATCTGTAAAGTGCTTAGCACGGTGCCTGGCACATAGTAGGCTCTATATAAATGCTAGCTATTACTATAATTATTCAGTGTCAGCCAAGAGGAGCTAGGTCTCAGCGAGTGACAGAAGGAGCATAAGAGGAAGAGGTTTCAAATGAGGGAAAGTTTGTTAGTTATAGAACTCAGACATTCTACAATCACAAACTCTCAGAATTGCAAATGGTCGTCCTCAGGAGCAGGAAAGCTCTCCACAACATCCCTGCTGGGCGGCTGTCAAGAGTCTCTGGATACTCTCAGTACTTCCAAGGGCAGCTCATTCCAGCCTTGGCCAGTCTGGAGAGGGAAGAATGTCTTCCTCATGTTGTACCAACCACTCTCAAGACAGTCTAAGCTACTGTGAGAGCTGAGAATAGAACAGCCTTAGAATTCAGCTTCTTGATCTAAGTGGAGACCAGCTCCCCCTGGGTGACATTTCATCCCTGGGCATCCTGGAAGGTTGCCGATGTCAGGCACATATCCACCACAGGGTGGATGTGTGGAGTTGGCTAATGTGATGGGGATACCACTGTCTCTTACCTGTATTATCTGTGACCCTGGTTGGAATGGCAGAGGGGTTACTAATATGCTCCCTGATCTCCTGTCCCCGTCATCAGGGCATTCTGAAAGAGTGAGAAAAAGGTAGGGAGGAAAGGTCACGCTGCATTTCTGTGACTTTGAGTCAACAGATTCTTTTCAAAACTGGTCACTATATGAGAAACCCATAGGGAATGGGGAGGACACAGCTTTCTCCACCAGTTCAGTTTGGAAAGAAAATCTCCCCCCACCCCCACCCCACCAAGGGGCTGCCTGCCTGCCTTGGTTTCAAACACCCTTCCCCATCTCCAAATCCAACCAGACAAACGGTCATTCATCCATGAAACTCCAAAGGCCATTCATTGCTTACTGCCTGGAGACAGCTTCAAATCAGGAAGCAATCAGCGGAAAACTTCTTGGCCTAGGCCAGCAGGGTGGCCGACTCCCCACCGCCTTCCCCAAATGGCTTTATCAGAGATGCTGCTGCTGTGCCTAGACTTGCCAGGTTTTAACAGTCGGTCTTTTTCACAGTAAACAGGACTATTTTCATAGTAAATAGGACTATTGTTCAACTCCCAAATTGGTGGGGTTCCCATTCTATAATCAGGGGACTTCTGAGACTCCAGGTGAATCTGAGTAAAACTCAAAAGAAGGAGATGAGGGACAGGGCAGCAAAAGAACATGAAAGTGGCCCCATCAGACTTTCCCATCACTTACCTCTCGAAGAGACAGGGTCATGTACGTTCTCTCTTCTGAGTTCCTCCTCAGTCTGCCTGTGGGAGGTAGAGAGAGGAAAGTGGACACATTCTGTACCTTAGAGGTCTCTCTGCCTTGACACTTTGCCCCCTCCACATCATCACCACAATGATGTTTCTTAAGCAGACACCTGGCTAACCCTGCCCCTCACCGGCACTGCCAGGCATTCAAGGCCCTCAGCAATCTGCTGCCTTTGGGTCTGGAGTCTTGTCTCTCATTGCTCTGTGTTCTGCCCCTCAGACACGGCTTCCGCTCTCTCACTTCTCTTTGCCTTTGCCACACTACCCCTGACATCACTTATTTACTAAGCTAATGTCACCAAGCACTGGGCTTCATTCCTCTCTCCTTTCTCGTGCACTCTGGGGGTGTGTTAGAAGAATCATTTGCATGACACATGGTGTGCTGTTCATGCAGAAAAGCATGTTGTCACTTACTAAATGAAGTCACTGACCAGCAAGAGGGTGTATATCGTGGCCACCAGATGGCGCCAGCCCAAGGCCACCAGCCAAGTGATTTTATCCCCAGGGTGTTCCCCTGCTCATAAGAGGGCACTCAGTCTATACCTCTTAGGACTATTCCCCGTCACTCTGCCAGCATCAAGAGCTTCCCAGCTACGACGCCCAAGCCAGTTCTGATCTAGAAGCATACTCTGGGGGGCAACTAGGTGGCACTGTGGATAGAGCACTGGCCCTGGAGTCAGGAAGACCCGAGTTCAAATCTGGCCTCAAATACTTACTAGCTGTGTTTTACTAGTCACTTAACCCCAATTGCCTCAACAACAACAACCAAAAAGGCACACTCTGAAATGTGAAAAGGAGGGTTTCACCTGGTTTCCCACCACCACCAAATCTGGGACCCTTGGGCTCTCGACTGAACAACTTTATTTACAAATTGACTTCTTATAATAAACCTACTTTTTTTTTGTCTCCATGATTTATTAAGATGTAGCTGAAGGAAACTGCCACAGAGCAGAACCGCAGAGACTGTCTCCATGCCTCCTCAGAGAAGGGATGTGTGCACTGGCGACGGGCAACCGGAGAAATGAGGGCAAAGTGCCCAGGCCTGGGATCGATATCACTCAAATCTGGCCGTGGGTCACATCCTTGGCCCCCTCTTCACCTTGGAGATTTTCAGTGGATCGCTCACTACAGGTCTCGCCATCACAGAGCAGCCCACGGCTACTACCATCAGAGTGCTTCCAGTCTCAAAAGCCTCTCCAATCCCAGCAACAGGGAAAGCAAGACTGGAATAGTGGGCCTGAAGTCTCTCTCCAGGCCGAAGCCTGTGAATAACAATCAAGGGGGAAAGGTTAAGCCTTGGGCTGTCTCCTGGTTTCTTGAACCTTATACCCGGGTGGTCCTCACAGAATCACAGGACTTGAGAGTTGGAAGGGGGTCTCTGTGGCCATCAAGGCCAACCCATCCACCAAAGGAATCTTCACCATAACCCCAAGGCCTTGCGCCCACTCCTCCTCGTTCTGCCCAGCTCCTCCTCCAAACGCTTCAGTCCAGGCCCTATGACCCTCCTGAGTCTTTTCTTCTCCAGATTAGACAATCCCAGTTCCTTCAATGTGCCACGGACTCAAGGCCATCTTTGATACGTTCTTTTCAAACTATCACCTACTGCTGAATCCAGCATTTGAGATGAGTTGGGACAAGGGCAGTGTACAGAAGGACGACCACTTTCTGATTTTCCTAATGCAGCCCAAGGTCACATGGGCATGTTTGAGCCTTTCCACTAAAACCCTTCGATCTTTTTCTTACTAGATTCAGCTCAAGGCTCTAGCCCAGAGGTGTCAAACACAGGCTCCACAGTCAGCATGGAGGCCTACAACACTCCAGAGTTTTTAACAGAGTTCTCAAGAAATTTGACAGAGATTTTAACGAAATAAATAACAACACAATAAAACAGATAACATTACATTTGAAAACCAAGTCAATCTGTGATCAGCAGGGCTCCTTCGGTATGAATGGAATAGTGGTTCCATCCCTATTTGAGTCTGACACTGCTGCACTACCCTGCCAAGGTCCCTCTGTGAGTTGACACCACCCTCCACTGTTTTAGCTGGGTGTCCTCTGCACATGTGAATGGTAGACCATGTATGCCTTTGTCCAAGTCAGGGATATGAATGTGAAATAGCAGCCTGGGGCCCAGTGTGGACACCTGGGATCCTACTCCATTGGGGACCTCCTCCAACCATGATGACATGGGGCCATTACCAACCAACTCCACTTTGAGGCCGATCCTGCGGCCTCTTCTGAATTCAGCTGCGTGTGTCAGCGTCTGAGCTGAGGCTCTCCATCTTCACCACAGGAAGAGGTAGAGAGATTCGATCCTACTCCAGGTGAACTGCCTAGCAAACTGTCCTTTCTGCATACTCCGAACTGGAGACAAATTTAAGTCCTGTGGGAGCTGGAGCACTGGTCTAGAGATTATGTACTTGAGTGGCTCCCTGACCCTGCACCACCTTTCACCCACGGATTCTGGCCTCTACCTCATCAAAGTCAATACCCTGGAAGGAAAAGAAGTGTGGAGTGAGAATACATCCAAGCACATGGCGATTACTGTTTCCTTTTTGGTGGGATGAAAAGAGCCCTGGGAACCAGGGAAGCCCCAAGTTCTAGTCCTCATCTGACAGGTGACTAGACTGAAGCCACTAGCCCAAGATCTTGTAGCTGAATTAAGGAGAGAGAGAAGAAAATGGGCACTAGGGAGTCTTGTCTTTCTCAGCCTCTAGTCCTAAGACCTGATACAGCTGAATAAGAGAAGGCCATCATATCTGGGCCTCTAGCTCTGGCAAAGGAACGATTTGGGTAGTTTTAAAGTCTTCTGTCTACAACATGTCTTTCATTTTCTCAAACCCCAAGTTCAAATGCTAAGAGCGCAGTTAGGGTCAGGGTGAAATCCTATTGTTCCAGGCTTCTTACATCCAGTGACACTGGCTTCCTGGCTGCTCACACACCCATCCATCCCTTGACTCCTGGCATTTGCACTGGGTGTGCCCCATGCTCGGAGTGCTCTCCCTCCTTATCTCCTCCTCCTGCTCACCCAGGGTTCCTTCAAGTTCCAATCCCATCTTTTTTTTTTTTGCTTTTTTGGTGAGGCAGTCGGGGTGAAGTGACTTGCCCAGGGTCACACAGCTAGTAAGTATCTGAGGTCACATTTGAACTCAGGTCCTCCTGACTCCAAGGCTGAGCTCTATCCACTGTGCCACCTAGCTGCTCCTCCAATCCTATCTCCTACAGGAAATCGTTTCCCCCTCTCCCTGGCCCTCGGTGCCTTCCCTCTGCTGATTCTAATTCTTCCTGTTAATGTCTTCTTCGCACCTGGTTGTTTGCATGTTGGCTCCACCATCTGACTGTGAGCTCCTTGAGGGCAGGGTGAGGGTAAGGGTTCTGTCTAGCACTTAGCACAGGGCCTCGTCTCCTTACTGACAGGCTGATTGGTTTGTTCTGTGCATAGCTCTGGCTCCGTCACATGCTCCATTACCTTGAGAATCCAATCCAAACTCCCTGGCCTAGCAATGAAGACCCTGTACAGCCTGGCTCCCACCCCCTTTTTTCTCCATCCACACTGGACTTCTCCTGCCTTCTTTCCTTCACATATCTCACATGCCTGGAATGTACTCTTCTCCTCCCAGGCTCCTTCAAAGCTCAGATCCAAGGCCACTTCCAACATGAAGGCTTCCCAGGTTCCCACCACCTCCACCCCACAGACTGCTTCAGCTCGGCCTTTGTTCTGTACCTGGCACAGAGGAAGGATTTCAGAAATGCTTGTTCACTGAATGGCTAATTAAACACTCAGATCACCTTTTCCCCTCCAACCTAGTCTCTTAATTATGGAAATCAAGCTGTTCTCACAGCTGTCTGAAGATCATTTCTGCAGTCAGGAGGGGAAAACCTGGCAGTCTGGAGACGAGGGGGTGAACCGAGAATAAACTGTGATGACTTAGGAGATGGTCTGACCCAGCTCCTAGACAGTGGAGACAGACAAGAAAGAGGCAACCACAGAGCTTTCACTTGAAAGGGAAAAGAGCCAGATGTGACAATTTCTAAGAGGCCGTGGAAAAAACAATGAAAGAGAAGAGAATTGCACCGCCACGCTGAAGAATCCAGTCTCTGCTGTTTCCTCCAAGAGTTTCCTCAAAGCCATCAGGTCATGTTGCTTTTGAGGTGCTCAGGCGACCCAACCAAAGCAGGTCACAGAAGAAAAGAGAAAATTCAGCAACTTGGAGGGGGTCAGGAGGGTGCCAATGGTTGTGCCCCCCCCCCCCATGGTGGACAACTGAAGACAAGTCAAGAAGCACTACCTAACAAGGGTGGGGACACATGGTAACCTGAGTGAGGAAACAGAGGTTTAAAAAAAAGCACTGCCTAAGCACCTATGATGCTCCAGGCACTGGAGGAAATGGAAAGGTGGCTGAGCCTACAGTAGGGCCAAGTCTGATGGCAAGACATCCTCTCTGAAGATAGGGGAAGAGAATAAGTGCCAGGCACTGTGCTAAGTGGTTTTGAGAAATATTGTCACATTTGTAAAATTTTGTAAATGATAATATTTCCTGGATGGGGAGGGAAGACAAGCAGGCAGAGAGCATCTGTTCTCTGGGTTGTGAATGACTACTGAAAGTCACTGTGGAGGAATCTGATGGCCCAGCCCAAGTTACTGAGAAGCTATTCTGGGCATTTCTGTCACCAGTTTTTAGCCCTGTAAGTTCTGAATGAGCCAAGTTAGTGACTGGATGTTGGACCACTCTTCAGGCAAGCTGGGAGAATCTGGACGTTCTGTGCCCGACAAGGGTTCACTATTTTTGTTCCTCTCCCATCCTGGAGAATCCCATTCTTTTTATGGTCAAGTTAACAACCATGGTTATTATTAGCAAAGCTCCAACAAAGGGCCATAATCTTTGTGGCTTTTCAGTATGGGAGCAGAATTTTAGGCCTCTTATTTGGTTGTGCCACTAGAACCTTAGCAATAGTACAAAGGACCCTAGGGTGTAAAATCTGCCAATTTTGTTGTT